GAAAACGATTTCCGTCCAGGGAAGCCGCTCTCGCATACTACATCAGCGCGTCTGTAGATTCCGCCAGCCGTACTTCTTCAAGCAATGATGTTGGGTTGCCTCTGCGAACCTCGTATTGAATCTCGTATTTGAGGTCGCTGATGTATTTATCTAACTGCTCCGCTTCCGACATGTCATCTACTTGGTCGGCGAGGCCCATGAACGACGCTGTGTAGTCTTGGACAGATGCCAACTGCGACCAGGTACGCAGCTTCATGCGAGCTTGCTCCGAGGCGGATACGTGCTCGAAGCGATCTCGTAAGGCTGCGCCCCACTCCTTCCACGTGCGTATCTTGGTCACAACGAAGATCGACTTTGCCACTTGATTAGTCACTGTTGGGGTCCTGTCTGCCGCATGTGTCACACCTGTCGGCGTCCCCGTTTCCAAGGTTCGGTGCCACCATTCAAACGCTTCGCCTCGAAGAAGCGAAACCGCGTAATTAATACGCGTGGCATCGTCGTTAACATCTGCTGCAGTAAAGAAGACTTCAACACCGAACAGCCACCCCTTCACTGTAGTCGTCTTGTCCGTAGGATTGAACAGCGGCAGGTTGACGGGTTTAATCTTGATCATTGTTACTGCAGTTGGCGCTGCTGCCGCTCGCTGCTTATCCTCTTCTTCAAAATCACGTGCGAGCGCGTTCAACGGATTGCTCACCGCCTGACTGTTGCCCTCGCCTTCTTTGACGGGCGACTCCTGACGTGCTTCACCTCGTGTCTGGCGTAGCTCGGCGTTTCCCTCTCGTAAAGTTGTCACTTCCGTCTTTAATGACTCCATGCCCTTATGCATCTCTGCCAATTGCGCCATCAGCTTGTTAACCGCCTCCTGATCCATGTGCCTATCGTTACGTTTGGTGGGCAGTCGGGTACCCGTGGCCTTCAGGCAAATGAAAACACGAACTATCGGAGTCGGGCAGGATTGAATTAACAATCCCTGCAGCCAACCGTCGTGTAGTCACTAAACCAGCCACACCCGTGCCACCAAACTACCCTCGGAAAGCGGGGTGAACTAGGAAAGTAGCTCTGATACCAGGTGTTATGAGTTGTAAAAGAGAGTGCGCAGGTAAACGAATAACGAGACTGTGATTGAATGAACTGAGAATACAATGAAGGCACAGACTAATGTAGGGGCTAGCCTAGCTAGGAGGGAACCTTGGACAAGCGAGGTCAGGTGCAGGTTTTGGTGACGGGAAATGCCGAAGGCGACGCGAGGAGCCTTGGCAGCATTGAGATCGGCCGAACGTGCAGAGTCCGAAAATCGGGGCTGTACACGAAGGAGTCAACCCCGATAAGGAATTCGTGAAAATTCCTTACCCTCACGCACCGCGAAACCGTTTGCTTGATTTTGCTATACGTATTCGCACATGCCTTCTGTAATGAATATACAAATCATGACTGTAGAGGCTGCTCCTAGCGAGGACAGCCATGAGCACTTCGCGTCAGCATGGCTCGGCCTACACTTTCGCACCGAACCAAGTCCGAGTTGCCCCGCACCAATCGCAACACTTCCAACCCTCGCGCGTCACGAGGTTCTCGCCTAGCTAGTTTCGCCCTATATTTGCTCGCTTTCTTCAATATTTCGTCATTCGGTAATCACGTTCTCTTTATAGAAGTCTTCCCCGCACTATGTTTAATACAACTCATAACACTTGGTATCAGAGCTACTTTCCTAGCTTCCCCGTTTTTTAGAGTGTATTACCCCTCGGGGGGGGGGGGGGGGGGGGGGGGGAGTGGGGGGGGGGGGGACAGGGAAGGATGCCGTGGTGACAGGAGAGCTGTGGAGATAACTACTACAACGGGAGCTAGACTACGGGCTAGGCACGGGTGCTCGTGTGATCTGCGTTCATCCACTTGGTCGTTTACTCGTGCTTGCACTACTTGCTGGTTCACAGGAAAGTTGGCAAGAGTTTCACTAGCAAAATTTCATAACAACAATGGTACAATGAAGTTGGCAAGACTAGACTACATCAGAGCTAGCATGCAAGCAAGTCTACTGCCAGCACAGCACGGTCGACCGCGTGCCAGCACGACTTGGTCGACCGCGCTCCAGCAGTGCAGAGGCGCGGCTTGCCAGTGCTGCAAGTCGACGGCGTGCCAACATCGCAAGTTGGCGGCGTACCAACGTTGCTCCCGCAGGACAGACAGTAGCGCACCCGCTTCGCAGGTGCTCGCAGATGATTGGCGTGCAGTGCCTCGTCACCTGCACAGCGCACACACCAAGTCAACTTCATGCTGACGACTGCTTCTGATCAGCCACGTCGACCTCGGGATACCACCACCGAAGTCGTCCTCGCCAACATCGCTTGGTCGACCGTCGCGTGCCTTCGCAGAACCTTGTCACCCAGGTAACCTGGTCGACCGGGCAACCATGTCGACCAGCTGCTCTTGTGTGTGCTGGTCGACCTCCTAAGTCAACGGCCATCTACAGTCGGCCTCCCAGGTCGACCACTACCCCCTGGTCGACCAGCTCCAGGTCGACGTCACTCCTCGTCGACCAGCACAGTTGTCAGCCGACCCCAAAGTCGGCTACCCGAAGTCGGCGTCACCAAGTTAACGCGTTGCTACTCGACGCCCAGCTGCTCGGCGTCCTGAATCCCTCTGTCGAGGTCGACGCCGGCCCCTCCTTCGTCGATCACCATGTTCGGTCGACCAGAAGGGCTGGTCGACTCACCAGTCGACCAGAACGGCTGGTCGACTCACCAGTTGACCAGAAGGGCTGGTCGACTTACCAGGTCGACCAGAAGGTCTGGTCGACTTACCAGGTCGACCAGAAGGTCTGGTCGACCAACCAGGTCGACCAGAAGTTCTGTCAGCCGACCACCCAAGACGGCTACCAAAGTTGGCGTCACCAAGTCGACGCCCTCCGCAGGTCGACTTCCCAGGTCGACCTCCCTGAAGTCGGCGCCATCCTGAAGTCGGCGCCCATGCAGTGGCACCCGTGCAGGTCGACTTCCTCGTCGACCAGCTTGCCCACTGCTGCAGGTCGGCTGCACCCTTACACCCGACCACGAAGTCGGCTCCGCCCAAGCGAGGACGGGGCCAACACACAACTCTTGTTGACAGGAGCGCAGTAGCCGGCCAGGAAAACAGGTAGTTGCTCTTAGCGGCAATGATTTTTACGGGCGCTCCTGCTGCACCGACGGATCCTTGCCCTCGACGGTCAAGATCGACCGTGGCCTCCCTCCCCCCGGGTGGCGGACAACTTTTGTTGTCGACGCATTTAATGCGTGAGTTAACAACTCGTGTTTTTGTCAGTTTCGGAGCTGATACTGTGTGGCAGTTGACGTCGACAAAACCTTCGTCAATGCACGTCCGAAACTGTCGGAAGCAAGAGTGGTGCGAGTTGCGTCGGCACGTGGCTGACAACTGCGCGCGACAATTTCGGAGTCAGCTGCGTGCGGCACGTGGCGTTGGGCGTCTTTGTCACATTGTGCACGAGTTGGTGGACGTCTTCGGCAAGTGACATGCGGCGTCACTGTGCGCGAAGAATTCGGAGTAGCAGCGCATGGAAACGACTGCTAGGTGAGCAGCCAGGCGCAAGATGATTTGCGTCTGAAAAACCGACGGCGAGGAGAGGCACCGTGGCGACTGCCCGAAGAAAGCGGGGGTCTACCGTCGTCTTGCCTGGGTGCGGCACGGATGCTGCAGGAGGGTGCGTCGTGGGCGTTTTTCGGCAGGAGCGGCACAGTGTGGGGCGGGAGTTATTTTCTGACCTCTGAAAAGTTCGGAAAATGCCGCCTACGACTAGATTGTTCGCGTTAGGGTCAACGAAGTAGGCGAAAATTTCGGAGCAACAGTAGCAGCCGACACTGTATCTCAGGTTCCCCTTGATCAAGGGAAGCTGCGCCACAGACAGGGCACTACACCGATGGGACAACGGTTTGGCGCAGCGTCTAGACCCGCGAATTTCGCCTGGTCTACCGGCTACAATAAACCGAATTGCGACAAATACGGGTCTGGCGAGAGAAACGGATTCCGGTCTTCAGGAGGCGAGAAAACGACCTACAGAGAAGACTTTTTGCTGAGGCCGGGTTTCGCGGCTAAGCGGCGGTAGCAGAAGGAGCTCCCTACCAGCCAAGGTCTTACGACGTTTCACGTACCTCACACCAGAAGGCCTCGAAGGCAATAAGTAAGACCTGTTGGCCACTGAATAAATAGGTGGGGCCCTGTGTTTAGCCCTGTGCTGGCAAGAAAGGCGTGGGTGGCGCTGGTTCGACAGCAGGGCGTACAAGAAACAATTTCGGTTGTGCGACACTGTTTCGGTCCCGACAAAAACGGACAATCGGCAACATTTACCCTGCTGAAAAAAATGTCGGGACTGAAGAAATTGTGGCAACTGGCGGATTTTCTCCTGATCCAACAGTCTACCCGATCGAGGTGTAGCAGCGAAGATGGAGCTCCTGAAGCTGTGGATTTTTAAATGCGATAAGCACGGTGGGCAGCGAAGCGGTCGGCTGAGAGTTTGATACGATAAACTCGCTCCGACTACGATAGCGTTCGTGCCTTCATCGAACGCCTGGAAAATCGCGGGCAACGGAGAATGCCTCACCCATCCGACAAAAGCGGACGCTGGGTGAACGGCGGCATGCGAAATTGTCGGGGGGCGAAAACAAAAAAAGCGGAGGGAAAGTTGTGGGTGCCTCTTAAAGCTAGCTGAGTGATAGGTTGAGCCCATACACCACTCCGAGGTGGGCGCCGGAAGGCTCGGAAATCTCACACATGGAGGCACGACGATGGGGTGTATTGTCAAGTCTGAGGTGACTTGTACGCTGATCTGGTGGCTTTTGACCACTGCGGACACCCGTGGCAGTCGAGTCTGTTGACTCCACTCTGACCGTGGGGATGAGTTTCGCTCCGACGTGCTTACCGGATTCTGCGGCGAACAGGGCATCGCGCAGTCTTGGTAGCTGCCAGAGTCCCCACAGCAGAATGGGGTTGCTGAGCGCCGCATTGGCTTGGTCATGTATATTGCCCGCACGTCCATGGCCCATGCCCGTGCGCCCCATTTTATGTGGCCCTACGCTGTTCGCTACGCAGCCCACCACTTGAACCTCCAACCGCGTGTCTCGCGGCCAGTGGCTTCATCGACCGGTCTTTGGACAGGGTCCCATGGTGTTTGGTCGGCCTTTCGTGTCTATGGCTGCATTGCGCTTGTCTGCGACACCTCTACGGACAAGCTCTCGGCTCGCGCCATCCCCTGTGTCTTCCTTGTTTCCCGGTGGACTCCTCTGACTACACCTTTTCCACCCGAACCTCCACCGTTTCCTAGACACCCGTGACACCCAGTTTGACGAGTCCGTGACGTGCTACACCCGGTACCCCTGTTGATGTCTCCCGGTCCCTCCTCCTCCTCTTTTCCTCGCACCCTCTCCTCCTCCTGCTCCCGCTCCTGTACCCCCGCCCCTCCCTGGTCTTGCCCCATCAGGTGTGTCTCACGCTACCCTCCTACCTTCAATCACGCGTCAGGTAGCAGCTCCCTCCCCGCAGTCCTCCTCACAGTCCCCCTAGTAGCCGTTGGCACGTTCGCAACAGGTTACTGTGGACTCATGGGGTGCTGGAGCTGGAGGTGCTGCCACTGGAGGTGCTCGGTCTGGGGGTGCTCCTTTGAGGGGTGCTGGCGGTGGAGGTGCAGGCACTGGACGTGCCAGTTCTGGGGGTGCCGGAGCAGGAGGTGTTGGCACTGGAGGTGCTAGTTTTGGGTGTGCTGGAGCTGGAGGTACTCGCACTGGAGGTGCTAATTCTGGGGGTGCTGGAGTGGGAGGCGCCGGCACTAGAGGTGCTAATTCTGGGGGTGCTGGAGTTGGCGGCACTAGTTCTGAGGAGACTGGCACTGGAGGCACTACTACTTCGCCTCCCCACCGCCATAACACACGTCTTCAGGCGGCTTGCCGCCGTGAGCGTGAAAAGCAGGAGCGGTTGGCGCGGGAGAGGTGGGATTTGCAACAGTTGGACTTGCAGGAGTAGCAGCAAGAGGAGGAGGAGGAGGAGGAGGAGGAGGAGGAGGAGGAGGAGGAGGAGGAGGAGGAGGAGGAGGAGGAGCAGCAGCAGCAGCAGCAGCAGCAGCAGCAGCAGCAGCGTGTGCAGCAACGAAGCAGCAGCAGCCGTCGCAGCGGCAGCAGCTTGTGCAGCAGCAGCAGCAGGCGCAGCAGCCGCCACTCTTGGAGCATTTGTTCCCACCAATGAGTCGCCTTCTGTCCCTTGGGCTTCCTTCCTCTCCTCCTGTCCTCTCATAGTCCCCTACCACGTACGATCCTACATTTCCTCCTCCGGACTCGAAGCCAGCTGTTTTCTCTCCCCCCCTGTCACCATCGCCTCCTCCTATTGTCTCGCACGACTGGACTACTCGCTGTCCTCCGCATGCTCGTCCCTCGTCTCCTTCTTACGACCTCCGCACTGTCTTGTTTTGTTCTAGTCCTCGACGTTCTCCCACTATGTCTCTTCTCCCGTCGCCTCCTAAGTCGTCTCTTACAGCCTCCACCTCTACCCCTATCTCTGACTACTACCGTGCTGCTCGCCCTGTTGTCATACGTGTTCTCGCCTCTCTTGTCATGGACCCTCGTGCCTCTCTGTCGTCTGTCTCGGCTCTTACTCCTACTGTCACTGACTTTTCCACCACACGCCGCCTTAACTACGCCACCCACATGGTGGCTGTTCCTCCCCGTCCTCAGAGGGCAATACTGCGGACATCTTCACCAAGACCTTGGCGTCTGGTGACCACCACCGGTTCTGTGTGCAGTTAGGACTGGTTGACACTGGTGCTCGCTTGTGGTAGCTTTGCTCTGCCTGTCGTTGCATCTATGTATATTTGTGAACTCTTGAACTGGCCTTGTGGCCTTTTGCTTGTGCTCGGAATGCGTGGTGATCTTGAGATCCTCCCCGAGCTTGTCTTGTTGCTTCTCTTGACTGGTCTTGTGACCGTTTGTTTGCATTGCTTGCTTTGATGCCCCTCACTTAGCCTATGGGGGTGTCTATATCATTTAGATATAGTTAGTTATTCTAGGCTGCAGTGAGTTGCCTTTTGATGGGTACAACACTTTGTTTAAATTAGCACTTTGTATCCTCTTGCCCCATCATCCACTCAACTGAATTCTCTCGATACTATTTCCTAGCCTATTTTAAGATAGCCGACCAACGGTCGTCGCCCGTAATTGATAGCACGCAGAAGTTGCCATGTGTTTCTGGTCCTTGTCAGGCCGCGACGCGATTTACGCTGAGGCTCTTTATAAGTACAGGACCGAGTGGGTGGACAGGTTTTCGTGGCTCATTATTTTTCGGCAATCTGACGATCTTCCTGCTTTCAAGTGCTCTATCTGTACCGAGCATGTAGGAAATGCTGGAAAGTGCGGGAAAGGCGGGAAGGGCGCCACCGACGTACAGACGCAGGCGTTCAAGAGCATGCAGCAACAACCAAACACAAGGCGGCGCTCGAGCACCAAGGAAAAGCTCCTTGCTGAAGTTGGCCGGCAACCACGGATCAACGGTGACAACCTTGCCCGCGACACCGAGAAGGAGCGTGTCATCGAGTTGTGCAACTCCGTGCTCTTCGTAACCAAGCAAGATGCTCCCATTGAGTTATGGGTGCAACTTGTGCGCTACCTCGCGGCGAAGAAGGTTCTGGGATTCCCCGCGAAAGGATACGGAACCTACTACACAACGTGAGTACCCGCTGTCAAATCACGTACTCTGTTGGTTTTGTTTGCCATTTGTGTAAGCGCTAACTTTGATTCACATGCGCCACAGGTACGGATTTGGGCAACTAATACAGGCGATTGGCACATGGTTGCATGCCACGCAACTCCAGCACATCCTTTCAAGCCCGTACATCGGAGTTACATGTGACGAAAGCACGGACAGGTGTCGGGGAAAGCACATTATTATTTTCGTGACCTTCATCCGTGAGGATTGCGTCGTCACCGACTTCCTTGCTCTCTTGACTGTGGAGAAGTGCGACGCAGCCTCTCTCCTATCAGTGTTTCTGTCCCACCTGCAGGCCCTCGGCATTTAGCTTGCCAAGATCGCTGGTATAAGCACCGATGGCGCGAATGTGATGACGGGAAGCAAGAACGGCCTGGTCGTTCGACTGCGCCTCCGCATACCGAATCTTGGCTCAAGCCACTGCATTGCCCACAGGTACGTTCACGGCTGATGCGCTTTCCAGTTATCTATATCATCCCGTGCTGATACCCTGTGTTGCATGTTTGTGTTGTGATGTGCCTGCAGGGAGGCGCTCGCGGCAAAAGATGCAGCGGAGGCACTCCCTGAGTTCGAGATGGTCGACGCGCTACTCCGACAAGTCGCAGAACATCTCGGCCGTACCAACCCCTGGCCCCTGATGGGTCGACGACCCTAAAAGTGAATCTAAGGCCCTGCTTCTCTCCCTCTCTCCTCTTCTCTTCTCAACCTTCTCTCGCCGCAACTTCCTTCTCTCGCGCTCACCTGCTCACCTGCTCCCCTAGCCCCTACCCAGGCACCACCTGTTTGCCATAAATTAAGTACTTTGGCTTACGGTACATGAAAAAAAAAAAAGATTTGTTAGTGCTGATGCTGAATTTTCAGGGTTTTGTGTCTAGGTATGTTAGATAACCTGCTTCTTCTCCTTCCTGTACCATCGTTGGTAGATCAAACTGTTCCAAAACAAACAAATCTAGAAAGCTGTTGGTAACATTCTGGTTGGCATTTCCAAAGCTCTTATAATACAATACATAGAAGATCATAGATGGATTATGGATATTGCAGAATACAGGCGCAAATAACACGTGCATGGATGTCAAATGTTGTAGCCTGTAGTGAGGTTTGTCTTAGGGGGTACAAAAGTTAGGGTTTGTTATATGTACCCCAAACCAACATCAATGCATCATTCATTCCTCAGTTTGACATGGTATCACCTAGGTTCGGATCCTGTGGGATCCCGCTCCTCCCGACCTCGTTCGTTTCGCCCGAGCCTGTCTCCCTCTGTCGTACTAGTTGCGCACGTCTTGCTCGAGCCTAGCGCCGGCCCGCTCTAGTCGCGTTACTTCGTTACCGCCCATTCCGCCGATCCACTCCTCTCGTAGCGTACCGACCTTCCCCCCCCCCCCCCCCCCTCCCCCCTGCTGCCCGTCGCGTTTTTCCCCCCGCTGCCCGTCGAGTCGCGTTTTTCCCCCCGCTGCCCGTCCAGTTGCGTTTTTCCCCCCGCTGCCCGTCGAGTCGCGTTTCCCCCCCCCCCCCCCCCCTTGCCCGTCAAATCGCGCCTTCCCTTGCCCCCGTCGCGTTGCACTCTCCCTGCCTGTCGTCCCGTTGCCCGTCCCCTCCTACGCGCGCCGCCACTGCGCCTCCTCCCGTCGCCCGCCGCCGCGCCCGCAGCCTGCGCCCGTCGCCGGTGCGCCCGCCGCCGCTGCCCGCCCCTCCCGCGCACGTCGCCGCAGCGCCCGCTCCCGTCGCCCGCCGCTGCGCCCGCAGCCTGCGCCCGTCGCCGCTGCGCCCTCCGCAACTGCCCGCCCCCGCGCACGTCGCCGCTGCGCCCGCTCCCGTCGCCCGCCGCTGCGCGCGCTGCCGCCCCCCGCTGTCGCGTCCGCTCCCCCCGCCAATCGCGACTGCTGGTCTCGCCTGCGGCCGCGCCTCTCCTTCACTAGGGTGCCTCCCTAGTTGCCATTTGCCTCCGCTTTTCCGTCAGTTTCAGCTATGGCGACTCCGCGTGTTCTTCGTTTCGACGCTGACGGTAGACCCCTTGACTTTTCACTCTGGCTTATGCGCGCTCGCCGTCAGTTAGAGAGTCAGGTCCAGTCAGGCGAGACCCTCTGGGCGCACGCTACTGGTGCCATCCATGCGCCCCCCGAACCTACGCCTTTAGGCCCTGCCCCTGACGACGCCGCTAGAGCCCACTTTGCTAGCCAGCGCGCTGACCTGACAGCTTGGACGTCGCGTGACGCTGCGGCCTGCATCGCGCTCAGCACCCTCCTCCCTGAGTCTGAGGAGGTCCACTTTACTCAGGTTCGCACTGCTGCTGAGTACCTGACTGCGATTAAGGCCCGCTACTCCACTCCTGCTGCTGTCTCTCTTGGCCGCCTTTTCCTCCCGTTCCTGTTCCCTGATCTCGCCTCATTTGAGCGCTCTGCTGACTTGATTGCTCACCTCCGCTCGCTCGACTCTAGTTACCGCGCTGCTTGCACTGAGGCACAGCTTGCACTGCTTCCTCCTCCCATGGCGATTACTATCTATTTCATCGCCACTAGCCTCCCTGACCGCCTTGCCTCCGTTCGTGACGCGCTTCTCCTGAAGCACCCTAGTGAGCTCACTATTGAGGTCCTTGAGTCTGCGCTCAAGGACATCGAGAGCAACCTCCGCTCCGTAGCCGCTGCCTCTGGTGCTGTGCCCCCCCCACTCTTTCACGGTTGCACAGTCCCGCAGTTGCCCACCTTTACTGCCTCTCTCGCCACTGCCGCTACTGACGCGACCGCAGCTGCTGTTACGACTTCGTCGCGGTCCCGCGGTAGGGGTGGCAAGAGGGGCGGTGCTGGCGGCGGCGTTGGTGGAGGCGGAGGTAGTGGGGGTGGCGTTGCGACTGGCGGTGGTGGGAGTGCAGGGCCTGGAGAGACGTCTCGTGCAGCGACCGGTGACTCCACTGCGCCTGCTGGTGGTGGCGACGCCCGAGTTCGTCAGTCGCCCCCTGTACTGCCAGCCCCGGTGGGTGGAGCAGCGGCGTGGTACCGGGCCCAGCGTCAGTAGTAGCTTCAGCAGCAGCAGCAGCCCCTCTCCTCCCAGCAGCCTCCGCAGCAGCAGCGGCCGCAGCTGGCTTCGGGGTCGGGGCCGCGTCAGCCCCAGCGTGGTGCTGTTTACCCTCCCTGCACCTATCAGGTTCTGACAGGTGCTCGCCGGGGCCACCCTTGTGGCCGCCTTCACCCCCCTGGTCAGTGCTTTGCTCAGCTCACTGACACGGTTCGTTTGGTTTACGGGGTTGGCGGTCCTGCCCCTGACTGGCTTCCCCTTGTTCAGCGTTACGGCTCCACTCTGTGGGACATGTCTGCCGAGCAGTTAGCTGATCTGATTGGAACTCCTCATGCTATGTATGCTGTTGTTGACTCTAGTGTTTCTGACTCTGTTTACTCTGGTGTTGTTAGCTTAGGTGCTAGCCTTGCTCCGTTGCCTGTTGCTAGTGTAGTTTCTTGTGTAGACACTAGTTCAGCGACTACCTTAGAGGACGCTTCACTGTCTTTCACGCTGGACTCTGGAGCCTCGCACTGCTTCTTTCGTGACA